TCTGGCCCAGTTGGTGAAGGGGAGTGTTTGTGGGGGTGTGTATAGGATTTGTGGGGTGTGTAGAGGGGAAGGGTGGATGGTGGGGAGCATGAGTAGCACCAAACAGAACTCCCCCAGAGGTGCACAAGTATGTGTGTGGGGGAGGGGGTAGTGTTTGTGGGGTGTGTTATTGTGTGTGGGAGAGTGTGGCTGTGGGGCTTGTGGAGGGGGTTTGTGGATATGGTAGGGTGTGCATGGGACCCCCCTGAGCTGCTCAGCTCCCACCCCACAACAACCTGTGCACAATGCAGCACCTCCCCACTACCACCAGTAGTCCCATGCTCACTCTGGACTCACCTCTGGAACAGATCAGCTGGAACCTGTACGCAGCTCTGACCCAGCCTACCCTGTGCCACCCAGCTGTGGTGTGTCCTGCTGTCCCACCAGGCATGCAGCAGAGCTGACACGGTTCCACAGCTGGACTGCCCTTCTAGGCAGCCCTGGTGGCGAGCAGCTCCTTCCAGCTGCTACCACCGCTGGCCCCAGCCCTGCAGTACCAGCAGGGACCCACACTGCCCAGCCCCAACCTGGCACCTTCTCCAGGCTCAGCAGTGGCAGTGCCAGACAAAAGCTGCTGCCCAGCGCAGGAGTAAAATCAGCCCCTCCCCCTCTCACTGCTGGCAGTTCCCTGCTGCAGCCATCTGGAGCCCGTACCTGGCTGCCCTGTGGGTCCAGGATGTCCTGTGGGGCAGTGATGGTAGCACAGACAGTGCAACCCAGCATGAGCTCCAGGCAGCTGTACCAGGGAACTGCTCGCAGTGGGGGGTGGAAAAAGCTCTTTCCCTCCCCCTCCCCCGTGCTGAGCAACAACTTTTGTCCAGCGTCATAGCTGCTGAGCCCAGGCAGACAAGCCTAGAGCAGATGTGGGGACACACAGCGTCAGGGCTGTGCACCACTGGTACCACAGGGCTGGGGCCAGCAGCAGTAGCTGGAAGGAGCCACCTGCGTTATCTAGAAAGGAAATCCAGCTGTGGAGCCGCATCAACCCCGCTGCATGCCCGGCAGTGGTAGAACACATGCACCACAGCTGGACTGTGCCTGGGCCAGGGGACCGAGGGACCTGCTGTGGGCTGGACAAAGACCAGATGCAGCCCGCAGGCTGTATTTTTCCGACCCCTGTGCTAGGTGGTATGTCTGATAAGCAGATTAGTTTAAAGATCAAACTTGCTGAGTTTCCAAGGGCTGTAAATAGGGTCTCTTAGCTCCCCCTAACCTCCCAACTTCTCTTGAAACAATGAAAGAACGAAGCTGTTAAGGCAACAAACACTAACAACAATATAAGTACCGAAAGACTGAATTAAAAATGTGAGGTTCTCACACTTACCAAAAACATCAACACCATATTTATCCACAGCAATAACCAGAACCACAACCAAGAGGTTTATCCCATTTTTGTATTTTGAGAAGCTGTATGCTCCATTTTTGAAAAATGCCAGTGAAATTGTTTCCCTCCTCACCTCTCAAATCAAAACATTGCAGAGTTGTCAAAACAGACGAATGCTGTGAGGTATTTTACACATAAGATCAATTACACCAAAATCTGGGGGGAGGTGAGCACGCTAGCAGGGAGGGAGAGATTGCAGAGGGATCTGGATAGGTTACAGGGGTGGGCTAACAGGAACAGGATGCGTTTTAACACGGACAAGTGCAGGGTGCTGCACTTGGGCAGTAGGAACCAGCAGCACACTTACACAATGGGGAACTCCTTACTCGAGAGCACGGAGGCAGAAAGGGATCTTGGAGTCATTATTGACTCCAAGATGAACATGGGCCGACAATGCGAGGTCATGGTTGGCAGGGCTAACCGGACCTTGTCGTGCATCCACAGGTGCATCTCAAGTAGAGCCAAGGAGGTGATCCTCCCCCTCTACGCGACGCTGGTCAGGCCACAGCTGGAGTATTGTGTCCAGTTCTGTGCGCCCCATTTCAAGAGGGATGTGGACAACATGGAGAGGGTCCAGAGGAGGGCCACCCGCATGATCCGGGGACAACAGGGCAGACCCTACAGTGAGAGACTGCGGGACCTGAACCTATTCAGCCTCCACAAGAGAAGGCTGAGGGGGGACCTGGTGACCGTCTATAAACTCACTAGGGGGGACCAGAAGGGTTTGGGGGAGACGCTGTTTCCCCTAGCGCCCGCTGGCATAACAAGGAGTAATGGGCACAAGTTGATGGAGAGGAGGTATAGATTGGACATCCGCAAAAACTACTTCACGGTTAGGGCGGCTAGGAGCTGGAACCAACTTCCAAGGGAAGTGGTGCTGGCCCCTACCCTGGGGGTCTTTAAGAAGAGGCTGGATGCCTACCTGGCTGGACTCGTTTGAGTCCCGTTTCTCTTTTTGGGGTTTTTTGTTGTTCTCCCGCCCTGGCGGGGGGTCGGGCTAGAAGATCTACTAGGTCCCTTCCGACCCTTAATCTATGAATCTATATATAGGAGGAAGCTAGGAAGCCATGGAGCACTACTCATAGCACTACGAACTTAGAAAGAGGGAGATTCTGCCAGGACCACGCTAGTTATTTAGAAGCATGTATATGTATGCACAAGTATGGGAGATCCTTCAATGTGTAATAGTATCTTGACACAAAGAAGAAACTGGGCAAAAAATCCAGCTAACATGTAGATCGACTATAGGGTGAGTACAAAGTTAACTAAAAACAAATATTGAAAATATGGATACTTGAAGCTATTAATAGCAATATAATACAATCTACTACCATCTCAATAATATTTGGTAGCACTTGGATTAGGAAACTACAATGCTAGGCACTTCAATGCATCATCATTTCACATAAATCTGTTTCAGGGTATACAAACCTGGACAAAAATGCCCACAAGAGCTGGTATCTGACAAGCATGACATGGTGAACTAAAAGGCTCTCTACATTCATCATGTTAACTCACTTTATTAACAAATTATAGAAAACAGTATAGAACACAGATCTATTGATATCAGTTGTGTGTCAGTGTGTAGCCTGCGTATCACTGTAGGAATCTTAAAAGAGGCCAAACACATTTACCCAAAATCCCTTATGATCAACAAATAAATTTCTTTTCTGGAACATGATGACAGAATAAAAACCAATGTTGACAGGGAGCACATTACATTTCTATATAAAGCTAAGAGAAAGTTGAAATAGTCAGCCATGTGAACAGGTTCTCTTTATTGAAACCCTCAGAATGATTAAAAAGGACCAAATGGTGAATTTCCATGCCAAACAGAAGTTCTCACCTAATTAACTGCATTCTAATTCATATGAAGGAACAAACAAAATTCAAGAACCCATGTTTTCCTCTGAATGAACTTAAATGAATCATTCTATCTTAAATTTTTCTTTTAAGTTTATCAGAAAATTAGATAATGATCTTTACATGGCAATACACACGTTATTGAAGACAGGTGTCTCCTATTTCCTTAAAATGAAAATGGCAGTAAAATGGGTTGAAATAATCAAATGGCTTATATTATTTTTCCAAAATGTGCAAGACCCACTTCCCCATGAATCGCATTTTGTATTTGAATGCCTCAAAGTATCCATTTAAAAGTTAATGCGGCAACAAATTAAAAAGGCCAGATCCATAGTAGGCTTTCTTACTGTTAGAAACATCTGGAGAACTATTTTAACATCTTTCTTGCTAGAAAATTACTAGCAATTTTGAAAGCTAGTCTAGATAGGAAAAATATATATATAAATAAGGCCACTGCTTACTGGATTTACAATGCAGTGCTTATTCAACCCAACTTTTGCTGGGAAAGATAAACCAGTCTCAGCACATACAAAAACAGCCCATTTTTAAATTTCAGAACACTTAAAATATGACAGTTTCTCTACTATAATTTATTCCTTGTGCATGTATTATGCAGCACCCTTTAGGTACATGATCACTTACTGTATTCTCAATTGAACTCCTGCCTCATTCAATGCACAGAATGAAGAATACTCACCAACTGGTAGCCATTTAATATTTCTTTAAACTCTTACTTAACACATAGCACTGTACCTTATTTACTGTACACCTTCCAAACCTTAAACTGAATTCATATGTTCATTGTGGATGTTTCTATGACTCTCATCACTATAACATAATTACTTTGCAAACACAGCACTCTTTTAAAATAAGGCAGCATTTATTCCCCCTTTTTTTTTTTTTTTTAAAAATACACAGAGGGATAGGCTCAGGCACAGAAAGATGAAGCCTAAAAATAACAAGTGTCCACTGGTTTTCAGCTCAATTGGACACACTCAGGGCCTAATGCGTACTGATATTTTACAAAATTGACTATGCTTAAATAGTGCTGCTGATTTTAGTTTTATGTGAGAGTTTTCAATATTAATGTAAATCAGGCCCGAAATGTCTTAAGCTGGACACCCAGAAAATGACAAATACATTATTAATGACCACACAAGTTTTAGATTCAGAAGGCAAAGCCAGCATGAAGTAGGAAGTCTATGACAAGTGCCTTAAGCCTCATGATTCTCTGCTCTTGCAATCTCTGGTTTTCTTTCCTCTGTACCTTCCAATTTCTACAACAAATGATGCAGTAGCCTCTTCCACAAGTCTCATTCATTCCCTGAGCAAAGTCCATGTACTGCAATGAATCAGGCAAAGGAGCCAATAGGGGAAAAAAAAAAAAAGCATGTGATCAAGTAACTAAGAACTATCAATGGACCAAATTTTCTAATTTGTGAATACTTGGCTTCATCGGGAGAATGCTAGTGTTGTGAAGGCTTCCACATAACTTCAGATTTTTAAAAAACAAATGGAAAACATGGAAATGTTACTGTGTGGCAGTACGTGGTAACTGCACCCTTCGGAGTCACTACAATCTTTACCACATGCACTAATGCAGTGGCATTACAAAAATACACTAATAGCAATGATCTGTTATTTATCCTCTACCAACCAGCCAGGGGGTGGGGAGGTTGCAGGGTGGGAAGGGATGAGATCTGTCAGTGAGTTTTTAAAGCTACTGTTACTGTATGAAGAATCTGTGGGCTCAGAAATCCCAGGTTCTATCCCGGCTTCTGGAAGAAGACTTGCTATGATTCCAAGACCCTTCTGGCCCAATCACTTGGCATTATTTCATTCCACATATTCAGCTTTTTTCTTTTATCCATCTCCCTCTGTTCCTGTTCTCCACCTGCTGCCTTCAGCATCTCCCCCATCTACATTAATCTCCCCCAACTGCTGCCTTCTCTACATTGCTGGGTGCCTCTTACCTTTCAAACTTTTAGAAAGCTGGGACAAGCTAAACTGTGTGCAACTATCTGATTGTTTCAGTATGCTCATTCTTACCAAAGAATTGTCAAAGGTCTTAAATGCTATATATATATATGGTGGCAGCGGGAAGAAAGTAGCACAATACTGTAAAATAGCCTGTATTAAAAAAAAAGCAATGCCTGTCCTTAAATTTCACAATGTACACGATTAAAAACTGTTGTAAATCAAAGATTTCAAACACAATGTAAACATTTGTGTTGGTTAGTAAGAGACACCACACACATTCAAATAATATGCAGTATTGCTATTTTAAGCTTTAACATATCTGCCTTCTACATTGCTGTTCTAAAAAGAGAAAGCTATCCTTGGAGTCTGTACAGGCTGTTCAGTATTTTATGCAGTTAATACAGCTGCTTGACATTTTTGAACATTCTCTTCCAGAAGACAGAATTCATCTTCCTATAGAATTGAAAAAGATATTTTCAAAAGAATTAAAAACTAGTATAAGAGTATCCAGATTAATAGGTATCCTAAACGCACAGTAATATAGCTTTAGCCAAGAACTTGTAAACAGTGGTGAATACAAAATGCATCCATGGATCAAAGTGTTTCCAGAATTATATTGAATAAAGAGAATGCCCAAATAATACAACAGGAGGGGGGAAAAAAGTTGAGAAACAGAGTATATGCTTGCTAAACAAGAATTAGGTTTATTTAGCTAGTGAATCACCTAGAGGAGTAAATTTTCACTTCCATGATAGCAATCTGTCAGGCTTGCAAACACCCAGAAATAGGAATTAAAGATTATTTTAAATGTAGTTATAAAGGTCATAAAAAGTCTGATTTAGACTGAGGTACATTTACTCAAAACTGAGATTCATTGAGTGGTAGCAAACAAACAGTTCCTCAGACAAATGCACTTTTTTCAGTATACATGTTACAGAAAAAATAAAGAAATGTGCATTAGCTGGTGTTTTCCACCAAGCTGCATATTAATATTCTCTTACACCAAACAGTTTGAAACAAGGGAAATGTCATTCTAATATAATTTCATGTTACGTTTCATTTGGCTAAACTGCAGCTTAAAGTTGCTTTGCCATATTAAAAGTTTACTACAATAATTTTCACATGAACATTTAGACTTGAGTTTTACTCCAGGACTAAATATGGCATGATTTTGCTTTTAATCTGTTGAATAGCTAAAAACTGACAATTAAAAAAAAAAAGAAAAACCTACAAAGAAAAAATAAGTTGAAGCAATGTGAATCTCACATCATTGAACCACTTCTAATGGTTAATTGTTAGTATTTAACAAATTCAAAGAGTTAATGAATCCTTGCATTCGTTTCGTCTCCTGTGCCTTAGCTAGGATGCATAAATACAAAAGACAGCAGATACTGGTAAAAGCTTCAGGACAGAAAGTGCTTGACGAAGTTACAGTTCTCAAGTGTGTTTGGTGAGAGAGTATAAGGGCAGATGCACTGATGAGAACCATTACAAGAGTCAATTTTGTGTTAAAGTGTTCAAAGATGTCACCTTAAGCAGAAAAAAGCTTTAATAACGTCTTCTTAGACATATTAGGCATTTCCAGAGTCTACATCATTAGTGTTGTAATTCTAGCAGGACATCTCCGTACAGTTATTGTTTGTTTCTATTTCTCTCCTGAAAGAAAACAAAAACACAAGAGGAAATACAATTAATACAAACAATTCCACATTAAATTAGGTTCCCATCTCCTTAGAGCTGTTCTGTTGCCATCAATTACTCATGGCTTTCTTTAAAGCCTCCAGCAAGCTTTACAATAAACCAACTCAACGTTCCACATACATTCAGGCCAGTTAAAAGCTTAGTTCACACTAACATTTTAAAATAAAATGCACTTCCTCCTGGCAAGTACAGGACCAATTAAAAGCTACATATATTCAACTGATAAATCAGCTGTTGAAAGAAAAAAAAGCCTCCCACTGTACATTTACGTATTGCTGTGTAAAAACATTTACTTCGGCTAGTAAGACAGCCATTGCACTGCTTGAACAGAATATAGCAAGAGATAACCTTTTGCTTACCTACCATCACAACAAAAGGTTATCCTAAATGTACTGCTTAGCTAGGCAGCAAAAAATGTACTATATAAAATTAGCAGAGCATTAGGTTTCCTTGAGTCTATTTACTAGGGTTCTATAAATTGAAGTTTCTATAAAATTACAGTCCTACTACTTAATCTGAAGCCTGCTGAAGCCTACAGGAGTCTGTTAAGTATTGTGCCTGGGATCAAGCCTTGGTGGAACAAATTTTGTCACTACTGCCCTTATGAAAACAGGTCTAGCAATGAAGGTCTATGTCTACTACCAGATACGGCTAAGTAAAAAACAGCAGCAGAAAATCATGGGACCAAGACACTGTACCATTTGTAAAAAATAGTTTTCCTACAAAAAAAGGCAAAAAGGTGATGGTAAGGGGAAGGACAGATATGACAGTAGAACACAGCAAGACTTTAAGAACACAGTAACCTGCAAAAGATACCTATTTGTCTGAGTCAACCCAAGAACAAGACTGAATTCCCATAAAAGCAATATGCCATATGGAATCGATAATGATATTACATTAGATGTTGACAAAAATTCCACAGGTGCAAAACGACCCATTCAATCCAATTAAATTTTAAAAAGTGCAAAATCTTGAAGCCAATTGAAAATGTTTCATGATCTGAAAAACGTATCCATAAAGATTTTTCACAATTCCTAGTGGCTTTCACAATTGTACTGTATCTAACAGACAGTGAACAAAACCTCCCTTCTTCCCACTGACTGGCACAGGAAAAATTATTTCTTAAAGAACTATTTTTAACACTGCCCAGTCCCTGCTTTGGTATTACTAAAAGCCACATGCATATTCTAATTTCCCTTTGGATGAAAGCTATTGAAACTGCCAATAAGCACTTTTCTCCAGTTCCGATCTATACTTCCTGATGTACCCCAAGTGTCTTTTTCTGCAGAGTTTAGGATAAGCAATTTTTTCTATGACATTTCATCTCGATTTGTTCATGCACTCATGATTCAACAGGTGCATTAACACAGCAGTTCTCAACCTTTTGCACCTTACATCCCACCTATGCAAGTTCAAAAAATCCTGGTCCCAAGGGTTGATGAGCGGGGGGGCGGGGGCAGGCATCCACCAGCAGCCAATCAAAGCACACAGAAGTGAAACCAGAAATATCAAGTCCAAGTCCCACCTAGAGGACCTTTGTATCCCACTGGTTGAGAAACCCTATATTAACACACTATATAAAGGCATTTTATACTTTTCTCAAAATCTGTGTAAAGAAAGGGGGACCCCCTCCCCGCCACACACTCGAGCAAGGAAAATCAACCCATTTTTGTTAGGTTGTTTTGCACCAATTCTGCAACAAACTACATAAAAATGGAACCCAGCGCATCAATACGTGCTAGAATGAGGTACTTTTTGCACCTAAAGACTGAATCCCAGCTTTATTTGTCATGTAACATGGTGAAACTATACAGTGCACCTACAATTATTTACAACAGGAACGAAGTAGGAAATCCTGAATAAATTTGTCCATGCTACATGAAAAGAGAACATACAATAGCCACAGATGACAAGTTTCCCTTATTATTAAGTTAGAAACTAGCTGAAGGCTCAAACTGTTTCAAAAGTCGTTTCTGATGTTAAAGCCTTGCAACTACTCAAAATGATGTATACTGAGATCCTTCATCCTTCAAAAACATTTTTTAAAAATTACATGTAGTTTTTGGGCCAGGCTCTGGCGTGCAATTTGTTTACTTGCATAACCAAAGCAGTGTGAAGGAATTTGCATTGGAGTAATATCCAGAATCTGTAGTGAGAACAAGGAACTCGCTGTCCTGAACGTTTTGCAGATAAAACAAGATAGTTTATGCCCAAAAGGTTTATAGTTCAAGAGGTACAAAATTGTAGGGAAACAGTTATCAACATTTTACTACATACTTTCCATAGTACAAGGATACACTGGCAGAAGTGCCAAGAAAGAATAGCCCTTTTTAAAATATGAAATTAACGAGGCATTAATATATATTAGTGTGATACTAATGTATTTATTAGGCAGCTAAAAGTACCTGACTTTTGGCTTTATGCCTCCCTGTGTATTGTAAAGCAAAAATAGCCTACTAATGCACAAGCTGTCAAAGTTTATGGCTGTATTATTAGCAGACTTCCACTGAAAAGAGCAATCTGAAGTGATCAGAGAACATGAAGTGATTTCCATCTAGTGAGAATTGCGTGTTTCTGGAATGTTTCACATTATGTTTGCAAAAGTTGCAAAAACCTAACTTCTATAAGGGGCCACACGGTTTTTTGGTTAGTCTTTCCCCGACCCAAACCTCAACACAGTAATTAGAGACCATGATTATGCCTATTTGTACTTCATACGCACCTGCTGGACTCAGTATACACTTAAATGAAAAAAAAAAAATAGCCTTAAAAGAAATCTCCAAACAAAACAGTTTCATGTTCAGCTCAATTTTTCTAAAGCACAATGATCTAAACAGTTAACCTAACCATATCTGTTGCTTCAAGGATGGTGATATCTGATGGCTCTTAAAATTGTACATTTTCAACTCAGAAAATAAAGGACCATTTTGAAACAAACACTTCCCCTCTCGATTCAAGCATACGTGTCAGGTAGTATTTTTTCGCTTTACATATGTACAAGCAAACCCGAACAACTAAAAACCTTTTTTTTTTTTTTTTTTTTTTT